TTTTTTTTTTTTTTTTTTTTTTTTTTTTTTTTTTGTAACAAAATGTACAGTAAATTTGTGGTTATGTCAATAGGAAGAGGAAAATTGTATGCTGTTAATGCTGGACGAAAGAGGCCGAAATGAAACAAAAGATTTTTTTCAGCAATTGTATCCAAAAAACTGTATAATTTACGAAATTGACAGGTCGAAATTATTTGGTAAGAATATATATTTTGTCCAAATAATTGAATTTTCTATTTTGAAGGCATTTGTAAGTGCTCTGAACGAGGAAACAATGGCGAACAACGACATTTAGCAACTGCTTTTGCCTATTTGACTCTTCGTTTCAAATCTCAATATTTTTTTTTTTTGAAAATAACTTTTTTTAGAAAACTCTTTTTTAGTTCAAAAAAACAAAATTTGATCTCTCTGAAATGAGGGATAAAATTATTTGTTAAATTCTTTTGTGATAAAGCAAATTTTCTACAATTTAGGCAAAAATAATGGCAGGCATAAATTTTATCGTGCTGCAGTAGAAAGTTATATAATCAAAAACTTTGAAAAAGATGCCTTTTTGGATTGGATGTCTATTAATGTCGATGCAGAAGTAATTTTTTTTTTTCAATTCTTGAATTTTTTAATCAAAAAGAAACAGTAAGAAAAAAAAAGCCAATTTTAGTAGATAACATTTACGTTTTACATGTTTACACATTTTCTTTGTCAAACGTATTTTGCAGTTGAGATATTAAAAAAAAAAATTGTTAAAAGTTATACTTAAAACAAGAAAATTTTTAGTTGCTGCTAAAATGGTTTAAAAAAATTTCAATAACTTTTTTTTTAAAATATATTTTTGATAAAACATTGTTTGAAACAATTAAATAGACTTTTTTATATCAAAAATTTATTGCCATTTAGAGTGATTCACTGATGGCATTACTAAAAGGTGGCAGTCTTGACGAATTTGGTATTCGTGTTTGCCAATTGCAGATTACTGTTCCCATTGTACGACATTTCAGTAAACTAACGTCAAACGCTCAAACAGCTTTTCAATTTATTAAGTTAGCTTTGCTTAGTGAAAGGTTAGTCATAAAGTACACACTTACTATATTTATTCTAATTGCTTTAATATCAAATTTACAATTACAGTGTTTTCATTTCTCAATCATTTAGTACTTTTTATCATTGTAATTTAGCAGAAAATATTTGAACCAAACATCGGCTATATATTTTCAAAGGTCAGTGTTCTTATATTGTCATTCTAAAAAAAAATGCTATCACATTTAGAATAAATAATTTCAGATATTTTATCCTAAAGGCCAAAACTATAGGCGTAAGTCAACTAACTTTCTATGCAATTAATGTGGAAGACTATGAATGTCGTCAGCGTTACTTCGAGTAGCGTAATATTTTATATTTGCTCCACTGACAACATATAGTGTTTTACGTTTCAAAAAAGTTTCGTCTCTTATTTTTATACTGCAACTTGCAGATGGTTATTGCAAGGCTACAAACTTGAAAAAAAAAAATTTGTCAAGAGAGGAAGTAAGAAAACGTAAAAATAGAACTTAGTAAACTAGAAAAATATTTATTAAATTTTGTTTTTTTTTTTAAACTTTTACAAAATAATTGTGTAAAAGTTCCTCAAATTAGTTTTCTTCTATCTGTCTCCTACTCAGGGAATCTTTAATGCAAAGTATCTATCTAAGTGATTACCAAATGTTTAGTTAAACGTTTTTTTTAACCAAATTTTTTACTCTGATGACTTTTTATTGAATTATAATTTTCGTTATTTTTTGCTAAATAATAGCTTTTTCAGTCTGTAAGAAAACGTAAAAATAGTACTTAGCAAAAGTGCGTATCTAAACAGTTAAGTGTAATAAGAAGCTTTATCTTAAGAAAACTTAAAAACAAGAATACTTAAGTTTGAGCACACGGTTTTTTACTGACCACAAACAGATACATTGATAATGGGGATAAAACAGAAACCGTACTGTTGACGGTTTTTTTTAAATGTCATTTTGTGCAAATTCTGTGGAAAAACTTTAGGATTGTTATCTGTTACAAAAAAAATTTAATCTTTTGTTTACACCACTTTTGTTTTTTTGTTGTTATCATACAAAAAACGCTTAATTTTATCAACAAAAATCAACAGGTTTTCATAGTATTGTAATACAATTAAACAGTTTTGACAATTCAGGTAGAATTTTTAAAGTATGTTTGCATACTGAGAAAACATTTGTTGTATCTAAGAAATTACTGAGTTGTTTACTAAGTGCTCGAACAATTTTCTAGTCAAATCTGCAGACGAACTGTTAAAGTTACAAACTATTTGGTGTAAATTTTGTAATTTCAAAGCAAAAAATTTAGAAATTGATGAAATTAAGCATTTATTGTATAAATAATAATAATAATAATCGTTGTATAAATAATTGTCTATGGCAGTACAATTTTGTTGATTATTGAAAGAAAGAAAAAAAACAAGTAGCTGTATTGATGTGTTTTATGAAAATTTAGTCATAAAATTTTTATATAATTAATTATTTGGGGGTAAGATTTTAATTAGAAAATGTTACCTTAAATCCATATGAAATTTCTTTTCTATTTTCTTTCTTTTTTTTTTTTTAAATTATTGTGAATAGCTTTAACTGTGTTTTTTTTTCTAAATGTTTTACATTATATTTACCTTATAGAAAAGTTTCCAAAAATAAAACTTCATAATTTTGTTTGGTGTTTTCAAAAATTGAATTTTAAAAAGATTTCAATCAATTTGCGCATAATTTTTTCGTCATAATTTTGCTTTTGTAAATAATATAGATTGAAAAAATTAGATATTGTTTTCGTTATGAATTATTATTATTTTTTTTTTTTAAAGTCTGATGAACAGTTCTAATATTATCGGCCACATTTAACAGATAATATCGACGTCAACACTGACAAAATATATCTTTATTTGACAACACCAAATGCAGTAATCGGAAAAGATATGTTGTTTTAGACGAAGAAACTGGTATAACACTTTTTCTTGTACTTTTTAAGCCAGATCTTTTTTGAAAAACCTTCTTTTTTTGTGTGTGTGTTTTTAGCTTTATCTGCTAGTTTTGATTTCCCAAGAGTTGTCTTGGTTACCAGATACATCACTGTTGTTGTTGTTGTTGTTGTTGTTGTTGTTGTTGTTGTTCTATGAGTGTTTTTTGTGATAGTCTAAGGAATGGTAGTGCTGCTGATTAAACAACAAAAAACTATGTCAAGCAGAGGACACAAATTTAATTTATTTGATAACAAAAAAAAAAATCTTTATTTATAACCAATCACTAAAAAGCGAATTCAGTATATGAGTGATGACCAAGAAGAAGAAGATATTGATAAATATGATTTGGTTTTTTCTAAATGTATCAGTGAAATGGAGGAGGCAAAAATTTTGCTTTATATTGTTGTTGTGCAGTTTTATTGTTCCCTATTTTTTTTTTCTGTTTTTTTGTCTTCTTAGAAAACTGCAAATAAATCATGAAAAAAAACTTCTTTGAAGAATCAATCAAAATTTGTTATTGTTGTCGTTGTTGTTGTGATTGTTGTTTTCGTCGTCATCTGCACAATCGTTTTTTGTTTTCTGTTTTTTTTTTTTCTACATTCTTATTCATATTGATGGTTTATAGATTGTTCTAGCCTTTTATCTGAAAAAAAAAACTTATTCTATTAAAAAAGTTGTCTGCTAAACTGTTAATTTTTATTTAAACAAAATTGTATATCTCTTTGTGATGAGACATATTTTTGGGACAAAAAAAATTTGAAAGAAAGAAAGGAGAAAAAAAAAATTGAACTGTTCTCTACTACTGTTTTGCAGGTTTTCAAAAGGAAACAAACTGTTCAAAAAAAAGCAAAAAAAAAGCAAAAAAAAAGCAAAAACATATTCTCACCTTATCATAACAGTATTTATTTAAATCTTTCTTCTTCTTCTTCTTCAAAAGTTGGTCTTTTTCAACGCTGTTGATCTCTCTTGTTTTGCACATCATATTCCTCTAAACTGCACATAAATCCATATCAAACACATTGCTAATAAACAATTTGTGTACAAATGATTAAAATAAACATTATAATTACTATTTAATAGACTAAAAAAAATTTTTACAAGACAGCGATATGTAAAAAGAAGAAAAAATAAACAAAGAACTTAGTCGAATATTTCCTATAACGACAACAATGAAAAATGCTCTAGAAAAAAAACTGTCAGTTTTTTTTTGAACTATCATTTTCAGCATTTACAATTTTTTTCTAAACTCATATCCAAAAAAAACCGAGGAAACTCTAGAAAAATTTTTTTTTTATTATAAACGATATATGGCTTTACACAATTTGATCAGAATTATTTGCTTCAATTATTGTCATTCTGTCGTACACCCGATGGTGGTGTATCATTTTATTTGAATTATCTAACTTAAAAGAAATATTTTAAAAAAAAACTATGCTATTTTTTAATACTTTTTTTTTCAGACTTAAAAAAAGCATCATATTTTAATTGAAATTGGTCAAAAATCTTAGCTTTACTCAGCATCTCAAATATGCACATATTTTATTTTTTTTT